TTTAAAGAAGTTACTACTGCTTTGTATTCTAACGAGATTAGGAAAAAGGATAAGTTAGAACATAGGAGTTCGACTGGTGAAGTCCACTATGCCCGGGGTCGTAACCAAAAATACAAGCCGACGATAAGAGGCAGATCACAGTCAAGAGGCAGAGTAGCAAATGATGAATGTGTCTTTTGCCATGAGAAATGACACTGGAAGAAAGACTGTCCAAAGCTACAAAAGAAAAAGAGGAAAGCAGTAGCTGAAGCATGTGTTGCTGATAATGATGAATCAGATTATTCATTAGCCTGTGCCTCATCGGTGACCTACAGTGACGACTGGTTGCTGGACTCAGGATGTTCATTTCACATGTGTTCCAGGAAGGAGTGTTTTGTCAATTTTGAAAATATTGACGACGGAGTTGTCTATCTAGCTGACAACCAACCTTGCCAGATAACTGGAGTTGGTTAAGTCTATCTGAAGAACTACGATGGAACAATTAAAGTGCTGAAAGAGGTTCGGTACATACCGAAATTCGCCAAAAACCTCATATCAGTGGGAGTCTTGGAATCTAAAGGCCATTCTATCAGCATTCAGAATGAGATTCTTAAAGTGATCTCAGGAGCACTTGTCGTCATGAAAGGTAAAAGAAAAAATAACCTGTATCACTTTCAGGGCAACACAGTGGTTGACGTAGCAGCAGCAGTATCAACATTAGATAAAGAGGATGAGATGACCAAGCTCTGGCATATGAGACTTGGGCATGCAGGTGAAAAATCCTTGCAGACTCTGGCAAAGCAAGGATTATTAAAGGGTACAAAGACTTGCAAACTTGATTTTTGCGAGCACTGTGTTCTGGGAAAGCAAACACGGGTGAAGTTTGGAACAGCAATCCATAACAGTAAAGGCATTATGGATTACATTCAGTCAGACGTGTGGGGACCAACCAAAACAGCTTCTTTGGGAGGAAACCATTATTTTATAAGGTTTGTTGATGATTTTTCCAGAAGAATATGGGTATATCCCATGCGAACTAAAGATGAAGCTTTCAATAAATTCCTCGATTGGAAGAAAAATATGGAGAACCAGACCGGGAGAAAGATTAAAGTGCTTCGCTCTGACAATGGTACGAAATATCGAAATGACCCTTTTTTCGATATTTGCAAAACGGAAGGAATCTTCTGACATTTCACAGTTCGGGATACGCCACAACAAAATGGAGTGGCCGAGCGCATGAATCAGACTTTGCTGGAGAAAGTTCGGTGTATGATGTCCAATGCTAATTTGGGCAAACAATTCTGGGCTGAAGCAGTCACATATGCAAGCCATTTGATCAATCGACTACCATCAGCTGCACTTAAAGGCAAAACGCCTTTGGAGGTATGGTTTGACAAACCTGCAAATGATTATGATTCTTTACGTGTGTTTGGATCTATCGCATATTATCACGTAAAAGAATCAAAGCTAGATCCAAGGGCGAGAAAAGCTATCTTCATAGGGATATCATCTGGAGTAAAAGGATATCGATTATGGTGCCCGGAGATGAAAAAGATGATCTTTAGCAGGGATGTTACTTTCAACGAATCAGAGATGTTGAAAAAAGTAACCAAGCAGCAAACAGAGAATACCCTCAGCAGGTGGAGTGTTCTTCCAAGGAGGTGGAGTTCCAGACATCTATGACTCAACTTGTAGATGATCAACCAACTGATGATGATGGTTCTTGTACCAAAGAAGAGCCCGGAGAAAGAGAGGTTTTAACCCAAGAACATCAACGACAACAAGATTTACCAATTGCTGTTAGGAGACCAAGAAGAGAAATTCAGAAACCTGCTCGATTCCAAAGTATGGTGGCCTATGCACTTCCTGTTATTGAAGAAGGTATACCACAAACTTTTCTTGATGCAGTGCATTGTTCTGAAAAAGAAAAGTGGAAGAAAGCCATGGACGAGGAAATGCATTCCCTTGAAGCAAATCACACATGGAAGCTAGCTGAACTACCGAAGGGAAATAATGCAATTGGTTGCAAGTGGGTTTATGCTCGGAAAGAAGGATTTCCAAATTGTAATGATGTTCGCTACAAGGCAAGATTGGTAGCCAAAGGCTATGCTCAAAAGGAAGGGATTGATTACAATGAGGTATTTTCTCATGTTGTAAAACATTCTTCTATTCGTATTTTGTTGGCCTTGGTAGCGCAGTATGATTTGGAACTAGTTCAAATGGATGTAAAGACGGCATTCTTACACGGTGATTTGGAGGAGGAAATCTACATGACTCAACCCGAAGGATTTAAAGTTGCTGCAAAAGAAGATTGGGTATGCAAGTTGAGCAAATCGTTGTATGGATTGAAACAATCTCCAAGACAGTGGTACAGACGATTTGATCAATTCATGACCGGCCAGAAGTACACCAGAAGCAGCTTCGATCATTGCGTGTATTTTCATAAGCTACATGATGGATCTTTCATTTATCTTCTTCTCTATGTTGATGATATGTTAATTGCTTCTAAAGATAAAGGAGAGATAAGCAGGTTGAAGTCCCAACTCAGCAAAGAGTTCGAAATGAAAGATCTTGGTGAAGCAAAGAAGATTCTTGGCATGGAAATAACGAGAGACAAAAAGAGATGTACATTGTGCTTGAACCAGAAGCAATATTTGAAGAAAGTACTACAACAATTTGGCATGACTGACAAAACCAAACCTGTGAGTACACCACTTGCTTCTCATTTCAAACTTAGTGCTTCACAGTGTCCAAAAACGAAAGAGGAATGTGATTACATGTCAAAGGTTCCTTATTCAAATGCGGTTGGTAGCTTGATGTATGTGATGGTGTGTACAAGGCCTGACATTTCACATGCAGTTGGGATCGTGAGCAGATATATGCATGATCCAGGCAGAGAACACTGGCAAGCCGTGAAATGGATTCTAAGGTATATCTTGAAAACCTTAGATTTTGGATTGATATTTCAAAGAAATAATGATACTGGTCAACATATAGTTGGGTACTGCGATTCAGACTATGCAGGAGATTTGGATAAACGACGATCAACTACTGGCTATGTGTTCACTCTTGCAAATGCACCAGTTAGTTGGAAGTCGACCTTACAGTCTACCGTTGCTCTGTCAACAATAGAGGCTGAATACATGGCCATCACTGAGGTTGTTAAGGAGGCAATCTGGTTACAAGGATTACTAGATGACTTGGGAGTCTGTCAAAAATATGTTACAGTGTTTTATGACAGCCAAAGTGTTATTCACTTAGCAAAGAACCAAGTATATCATGCCAGAACAAAACATATTGATGTACGGTACCATTTTGTGCGGGAAATAATTGAAGAAGGTGGAGTCAGCATACAAAAGATTAAGACCACTGAGAATCCTGCAGATATGTTGACAAAAGGTGTAACGTGTATCAAGTTTGAACATTGTTTGAACTTGATAAATGTTTTAAGAGTTTGAAGCATTTGGAGACCCGACCAATCTGTATGATAAAAGAATTTTGGAGAAGATATTTTGGATGGGATTTGGAGGTCGCCAAGGTGGAGATTTGTTAAAAAGTCAAAAATGGCTGCCCTCCACCTCATCCCACATCGTTTGCAGGAATGAAATAGGGGAGAATTTTTTCTATAAATTCAACCCATTCCCTTTGTTTCAAAATATCCCACAACACAATCTCATATTCTAATTGTGTTGTATTTCTTATCTTCTTTCATAATATAATTTTGGTTGGGGTCCGAAGACGTAGGCATAATTTTGCCGAACCTTGTTAAATTTGGTGTTCTTTATTTTGCTCTGGTGTGTTGGTTATTTTGCGGTTATTTATTGTGCTTTAATTTTGTAAGAGGAAATTCTATCAAAAAAACTATAAAAGGTCTAAGAAAATTGGGTTTTAAGTGAGCCTCGTGTCTCCTCCAATTACCTGAGAATTTTCTTTGATATTAATTGGGTACGATATTTCGCCGATTGTGTGGGGCTAACCCGCCTTTCACAACAGCCTGTAGAGCTTGTTCGAGAGATTCTTCTTTCTTGTTTTTCTTTATTTGTTCATGCGCTTCTAGGGACCCAGCAAGCGCTTCAAGAGTGAGTGTGTTGATAAGTCCTTGGACTGCTCAATTGCACCTACAATATTCTCGAAATCATCTGTCAATGACCTCATAATTTTTTCAATAACTCGGTTTGATGAAAGATTCTCACCATTCTGATTTAGCTTGTTCACCACGGACTCCACTCGAGTAATGAACTCGGATGCGCTTTCGGACTCTTTCATCCTCATGTTTTCCAGCTCACCCCTAAGAGTTTGAAGTCGAACTTGCTCCACACATTCATTTCCTTTGTTTGCCTTTTTGAGTGTATCCCATGCTTCTTTGGAAGATTTTGCGTTGGCTATCTTCTCAAACCGGATTCGTCGACAGCTCAGTATAGTAGATACAGAGCAGCCTTGTCTTTAGCTCGAACAGCCTTCAATGCATTCAACTGGGCATTTGAAAACCCATTTGTGTTCGCTGGTTCCTCATACCCAGCCTCGACCACATCCCAGTTATCTTGTGAGCCGAGAAGGGCCTTCATCTGAACCTTCCAATTATCATAGTTAGCATCTTTTGTTAACTTGGGTAGTGGGATGCCATTGGTCAGACCTGCCATTTCTCAGGTGTTTAAACCCAACTCGCAAACCTTATGAAACTGTTGGTTGTTCATTTTCTTGCCTGCACACACTGCAGCGCTCTCTCTTGAAGCAGGTCAGTTCTCTCACGCTCACCTCACATACAAGGCTCTTATACCAAATTTTTGGCAATCGAGAAGGCAAAAATTTCCCAAATTTTTTTCTCTGCATATCTTTAAACCAGTTCTTACAAATATTTAAAATGCTTGTCTCTTCAAATACCAAACATAAATCATAACGCCAATTAAATGAATTTGCCACCCATATTTCTTGGTTATGCCACTAGTCCCTAAAGCCATTAAAATCATTCTAGGAATACCAAACACAAAACTTCCTAATTTAAGTTTTACTACAGAACTTACATGCAAGCAGTCGAGAAGCTCAATCCTGGGGAAGGAGTCAAAACAAAATTTATCCTCGAGTTTGTCCGCCTATGTACTCTGCTGAATGAAAAAGTGCTCATCTTCAGCCAGTACATTCCGCCCTTGGACCTGATCAAAGAGCATCTGACCGCGACCTTCCAGTGGAACGACAGAAAGGAAATTCTGAGGCTGGAAGGAAGGCTACAGAAGAAGCAACGTCTGAATGTGATCGACGCATTCAACGATCCAGAAAATGATTCGAAGATCATGCTGGCGTCGACGAGGTGCTGCTCTGAGGGAATAAGTCTGGTTAGGGCTTCAAGGGTCATTCTGCTCGACGTCGTCTGGAATCCTTCAGTCCAACAGCAGGCGATTTCTCGGGCTTATAGGATTGGGCAAACGAAGTTTGTCCATGCTGCTGGCACGAGTGAGGCCGAAAAATATTGCCGTCAAGCTGAGAAAGAGCGGCTATCGGAGTTAGTCTTCTGCTCTTCTTCGAACGAGGACATAGCAAAGCAGCAGATGCCGGAGATTAAGGATAAGATTCTCCAAGGGTTGGTCGAGCACGTAATGACGAAAGATACATTTGAAAAGATCATCCACCAGCCGAAGAGCGGCAACTTGATCCAGTCCTTACGCATCAATGGTTGAGAATACAACTTGTATGTTGAGTTAAATATTTTTTTGCAAGAAACAGATTGTTTGTGATTTTTTTGCTTGATTTCCCTCAAGAAACAAACTGTGATGGATTGTATAGTTTTTTAACAAGTTTGGCATTTCTTTTTTTATTTCTTATTTTGCGCTTATTAATTGGTACTTTTAGATTGTTTTATAACATAAACAAAATATAATGAATTGTAGTTTGGGTAGGTTTATGATGAACTTTTAAATACAAAAAATGATATGACAAAATTGAAATTTTGAAAAGATTTATTGATGAAGTTTATAATCCTGAGCAATTTGAGCATTAATAGAATTACTGAGACATAATAATAATAACGAAATTAATGATAGAAACAAATTGACTAAAATTCATCTAGCATAAAAAAAAGTTATAATTTATTTGACAATACATAACATATTTAATAAAAAATTAATTAATTTAGTTATACACATTAGATATGTAAAAAGTAACAAAAATACATAAAGACAATAACAAAGAATTTTTATTACATATAGACAACAATAGTATATGACAAAAGGAAGGACAATATAGTAACAAGAATAACAATGAACAATGCTATTAAAAGACACTTACAATTCTAATTATATATGAATAGTGCACATATAACATTCCAAAAGGACAATCCAATAACGTATATTTTTGGAAATGTGCGCCATATTTTTGGATGTTCACCTTTTCATAACAACTTTCAATTAATAGTCGTCAAACAAGCTAAAAATCATAAGGCCTACAGTGGCAGAAATGGCTACACTACACGACCAAAATTCACTAAAATTCTACATTTGATTAAAAGGTCTTTGAAGAAAGGCCAAAGCTCTCGGCCTGCAGGCGCTATCCTATGAAAAATCTCCATTGATTAAGAGACTGCATCGTCCTTCTTAAACCAACTGAATTTACAAAAGAAATTGATCGAAGGGGAATGGTCTAGGAGAACCTTTAAGACTGACTTTGAAGTTTATCTAATATTTGTGCACCCACAGTTCATTGCCGGTGCAAACTAGTGGAATTGATATATATATATGTATATATATATACTGATGTTAATAAATATGTGCTGAATTAATTGCGACTATGTTCTAATTGTTCATACTTTATATGTGTTGGATGAAACTATGTATTAATTATATTATTATCCAAACAAATCTGTGTTAATCAACAAAAAATTACCACATTATTAAATATAAAATGACAAATTAATTTGTTACATTGTTATTCGACAAATTTATATGTTAACCGGCAAAATTACCACATCATTAAATTTAAAACTAAAAATTAATTGGTTATATAATAAAGCCAACAATTTTTTTACATTAACCGTTACCACATCATTAAATTTAAAAAAATCCAACAAATCTCGTGACTCTCCCTATATGCACCGTGACAGAATATCCAGCACCTCTGATGGAGGAACTCTACCAATGCTCCGGGCCATCAATGAAGATATCAATTGTCTTCTCTCAATTCTCATTGCAATGGCTTTGCCATTGCCCTCGAGCCTTGACAGAGTATCTATTTATTTACGATTTTCAATGAGGTAGAAACTAGAAACTAACTTATGCATCAAATATTTCATGCGTAGAAAAGAAATTTAATATTCACAGTACTAAATTAATCTAACCGAAAGAATTGCAGAAAATCATCAAAGCAACTCGTCTTTCTGAATATTCTTTAATTTATCTAAAGGATACCATATCAGATGCACAGAATAACCGCCTCACAAAAATCTCAAGCTATTAGGGAAATGCATCATTAATTTATTTATCCACAGGAGTCCCCAACATACTTATTAAATACTTAATTTTGTGTTCTTTTTGGACTTTTCTTTTGTAGTATGGTTTTATTTTTTTTATTTTTTATTTAAACAATAGTATAATTTTGAGGACATTTGGTGAGAAGTAAACATGTATTTTTAATATTTTGACGTATTAGGATTAATGATCGAATAATAAACAAAAACATAAAGAAGATACATATTTATGTGGTTCATCAACAACGTGTTGGCTATCTCTATAGACAGAAACGGAGAACAGATTTATGGAGAACGACTGCGTTACATATTAAAAACTTCAAATAATACAAGAGGTTACATCAAACGGCTCAGCCCAATACCAACTCCAAAGCCAATAGTGCATACTAGATTCAAGGTACATCAACATTTAAGAAAAAAATTGTGAAAATTGCATAATAAAAAAAAATTCAGCGTCAAGAACATAGAACATAGAACATAGAGTAAATCTTGAAGTTAACTTAATAGTTCTCATCCCTTGGTATGCACAAGATCATGTAGTATTGGCAGAATCGGTTTCACACAGCATCGGTAGCTTTGCTTTATATGGAGTTGAGCACTAGTTCGTCCATTTCCTTCCCCTTAACTAATTTCTGTCCAATCAGCACCAAATAATATAAATCGAATCTAATGATTTTTACACATGAAAATCTAGGACATAAAATAATAATAATAAGAGAGAAAGCAACTGATGTTGATCGATCAAAAGATTGTGTTGTTTTTACCATTCCGGCCAAGAATTTGTCGCCAGTGCGATATCCTCTATCTATCTAGAACATCCAAGATGGCTACCTCAATTCTTTTGCGCAGCTCTTTCCTCACCCAGCCCGTACTTCAAAAGCATGGCAACCACTACGCACCATATCCTGAATGTAATATGTATAATAGGATACAAATTATTTTCAACTAAAGAGTACATTGGATTTTCTAATCAGTATGCTAATTAAACAATGCTGCCATGCTAATTAAACATGCTGCCATAGAAACTCACGTTGGATTAAAAATCCAATTGTGGGATAAATGTAACTATTTGGGCTATCAGTTAGATTAAGCCTATATTAAATGATCTATTAAATTTATTGGACTTAAATGTGTTCAGTAAGTGCGGGCCTCCAATGTATAGAAATCCGGTAACTTATTAATTGGGTGATGAGGCCAATTAATAATAAGGGATATAAATAGGGTTGTGATTCCAGGTCTAGACGCAATATCTATTACGTTCCATATCTCATCATGGGAGTAACGGCAGAAACCCTAGCGGTTTTCTCGGGAGGGATTGCGCCATAGGCTTGAAGAACACAAAACCGTTCATTATTTGCATATTTGAATCCGACTATACTGAGGAATAAGGTTAGATTTATTTCTCTTTATTTTCTTATCTCAATTATTACAACACGGTAGATCCTTGGCTTAGGGTTAAATTTCTGACAAATTCTAACAATTGGTATCAGAGCCTTTCCGTATTAAGTTATTGAGATATATTGATTTATTTTGGATCAATAGAATTATCTAGATGTTAGTGTAGATCCTTGAATATTTTGATTAGATAAATCAATTGTTTAATCAAAATTAATTAATTGAAGTTCAATTAAAATATGTGTAGAAATCAACCACGTAAATATAAGACATGCATATATTTGGATATATCGGTTCAACTGTCTGCTGTTGCCGGCGTGGATAATCATTTTATTGAATGGACATTTAGTTATCCTAATTAGATCACTTAATTATTTAATCAAAATTAATTAATTGCTGGAGTTTGATTACGACGAGGTTAATGTTATTATTACTAATAACTTTGGTGGAGTTTGCAATGGAATCAGCTTTGTTGTCAAAGCCGTAAGCAATTTTTTATTTTAATTTATGCGATATGATCGGATATTGGTGTGGTTTGAATTTATACTTAATTAAGGTAATTATCTAATGGAATTAGATTATTCCTAATCAGTTTGATGCCTTCAAATTCGTGATTTGACTTGTTACGTCGATTGATTATATATTTACTTCGGTATGATAAATTATTCGGTATTGGTTATTGATACAATATTGAAGTTGCAATTATGAGGATAATCAAATGTGTTGTTGACCGTATTTATTTATTTATTGCTGATTTTTATAAAAAATCAGAACTATGGATTTATTCTCCGATGTTTTATGATACAATTAAATTTGTGAATCAGCATCTTATTTTGATCATATGTGTTTGTTCAAATTTGACTATAATTATTTAGTGTATTAATTTATAGTCTCTTTAGGTGGCATATTTTGCCTATATAATTCCGCTGCATTTACTACTTTCTTGGACTACTTGATTATTTTAATAAGTTCAGAAATTAATTGTTGTTGTTATAGTTTTAATATGTATTGAACATAAATACATTATTTATTTAAGGTGAATTTAATTAGCAATAAATAATATAATATATTTTTTGAATTGGTTGAAATAGTCATGTTGCCAAAGCACCCTCTGCTATGTAAATCGGTTTATTTTGTGTATTGAAAAGTTGTATTTGTGACTTACAAGGCTCCTTATTGACCCAAAGGCAATTCAGTCATTAAGTAGTTGCATGCATATTTAGTGACATTGAATGTGGTGATGATAATTTGGTGTTTGTGTGTGAATAATAGATCTGTCCAAAGATAGGGTGTTGTTTGACACACTACTGTATTGTCACCATTCGATTGTCAAAACAAGTTTATCACTAGTGAGTTAGTAATTTGTCCAATGACATTTGCTGATGTTGCTCGATAACTTGTGATATAATTGCTACTTTATTTTATAAATTCACATATGAAACATTCAGTAGCTTATAGCCATGTGCATTCAGTTGCTAATAAGCATTCTTTATTTTTTTATGGAATCAGACTCATATACATTGAACGTGATTCTGATTATAATTTAATTTAAGAAAATTATAAATTCATTAATAATGCATGTTGTGTTTTGACGGTGAAGATCAAGTATTTGACGTTGCCAAAGTAACCTCTCTTATATGAGATTTTTACTCGATAATGTAAGTGTTTATGTGTATTTTAATTCATGTGATTATTCTTCGGCCCAAAGGCAGTCGGTAATTGACAGAATGAAATATACATCTACGATAATATATATGGGATCATTATATGTATTTAACTTATGTCAATAGTAAATCGGTCCAAAGATTGGTTGCTGTTTGACAT